AAAAATAAAATGGCTTGTTTTGATCTTATTCTGCTCGTGCTTTTGTTTGAAAAATCACATGATATTTTTGATCCAATAAAAGTGCTGGTAGTTTGCAACAGATATCCAATATTCATTCTAGGCTTTTTTTCTGTTAGGGCCATTTATCACAAAATAAACCTGAAAACCTGTTTTTTTAGTGAGTTTTATACCTTGAAATTCCTTGGTGCTAAGTGCCAACTGTAAAACTTGATTGGATTTCAGGGAAAGACAATTGCCTTAGAAACAAAGGAATGTAGAGAACTGTAAGGGAAAAAAACTGTATTTGAGCTTGCTCAATAAAAGCACTGCTCATAATAAAGGCCAACCCCACTGCCATCGAGTCGATTCCAACTCATAACAACACTATAGGACAGAGTAGAACTGCCCCACAGGGTTTCCAAGGCTGTCATCTTTTACAGACGCAGGCTGCCACCTCTTTCTCCCGTGGAGCAGCTGATGGGTTGAACTGCTGACCTTTCAGCTAGCAGCCAGGCGCTTTAACCACTGCACCACCAGGGTTCCTTTAATAGAAGCCAAAGGCCCGTTCAATAGAATAAACAGTCAATAGTACATGCCCAGCAATCTAAATACTACACAGCTCTGTACAATCTGAGCAAACACTAATGTCCAGCCCAGGAATCCTTAATAAAAGGAGCTAATATGACCACAGAACTAACTGATGCTAATTAACCCCACTTGAGACACAACTGTCGCGTTAATACTTCCCTGTAATTATAGAGAACACTGACTTTGATTTTGTGTGGAGTCTGAAGCAGAGGAAATGTTGAAATTTGATTTGCAGGTAATATCCTAGACTTGATATCACACCAGAAACTCAAGCATGCCAAAACCTGGATGTGGCAATCATCTGTGAACTATTTCTAGACTTCATAAATAAGACATAAAAAACTGGCCCCCCCCACACACTTACAAATGTCTGTGGTTCTTAAATATTGCTTTGCCTGTATCCCCACATACTTTTACAAATGTATTGACCTGCTCCAATCCCAATTTTATTTCCCATTATTCTCTTATAATTTGGTTTAAAAAAAAATGCACATACATGACAATTTTTTTATTTTCTCCACTTACAGATTTCCATAAAAACTAAACAAAATGCAGTAGAAAGAAGAGGCATGGTATATTAATATTCTTTTACTCTTATCCATAAGTTTATGTTTCTGATTGACTTAAGGTCTACTTTTATTTTTTTATATCTAGAACCTAAGGCCCCCAGTAGTACATGGAAATCTTTTCTTGGATCAAAATTCTAACCAGTGGACATGTTTTCCTTCCATTGGATATTCAGAAATTATTTATCTGCTCTTATGCAAATGGCAATGTTGGAAACAAGTTGCTCTTGTTCTGTATAAAGATCAGGCATCTCTATAAAGATCATTCACTGCAAACTCAAGGTCCTGGAACCCGCCATTAAGGATTCTGTTTCCTCATCTTTTTTTCTTCCGCAGAAATGAATTTCCACTAAAACCCATTGCTGTCAAGTCAATTCCGACTCATAGCGACGGTACAGGACAGAGTAGAACAGAACTGCCCCATAGGGTTTCCAAGGAACAGTTGGTAGATTTGAACTGCTGACCTTTTGGTTAGCAGTCGAGTTCTTAACCACTGCGCCAGCTCCAAGTTTATACTATTAGTTGCTAAATCTGTTAAGAAGTTACCTGTGCCACCAAATCTTCATCCAATAAAGAGAACAGGTATGAACATGGAATGAAAAAAACAATTTTTTTCTAAATTCAGTAGACAAAAATTGATACAAATGAAACAGGATATACCAGTAAATTCTACAGTACATCATTTCCTAAGGTCAGTTGCTACAGTCTGGGGCACGATAACAACTCTTGTGGTTACATAGAGTCCTCTTAAGCTCCAGAGCATTTCTAGCAAGTCAGTATGTATGCTGTGGAGTCATAATAATCTATAATAACCTCTATTAAAATCTTGGCAATCAATCTGTATATTCCATTGGAGGCCCAGAAAGCTACTTCAAAAATTGGACTAAGGTTTTTAGTAACTTAGTCTAATTTGTCAAAAAGTCAGATAAGGTAAAATTCACAATATAACTCCCTTAGAATTGAAGTTAACAAATCAATTCCTAGCCATAAAAAAAAAAAAAAAAAAAAATTGTACAACAGAAAAAGCCTACTCACATTACATCTTTTGAAATTAAATTGTAAAATTGAATCTAAAGAAAGTATGGAGAAATGGCAGCAAAAAGATAAAAGACTAGACATATACGTAAAATGAAGTCCGACAGGAGAGACATGGCGTGTGTGGGTGGGTGTTAAAACTTGCAAATGAATGCTATAAACAGAATAAAACAATGGACACTAGACACTGGGATTGACAGACTGACACACAGAAAAACTTTAAAGAACCGTATGCTTTGACTGGTCCTACACTGTCTTTGAAAGAAGAACACTTTATTTATTCTACCTAAAATAACTTAGTAGTGATTTTCAAACATTTTTTAGAAGAGGAGCCATTTTTTCACTTATCCCAAGATCCCTGTTTCTTCACCTAAAACACCCAGGTCCCTAGAAGCCTCTCAGGCAGCTTAGAGGCCAGTTCAAAAATCACTGCCATATTGAACTAATATCTTTCAAAGTCAACAGATACTAATACAATTTTAGTAGTGGGAGAGGAAATCTCAAAAAAAAAAAAATCTCTAAATACATCTATATCTGATCTCTTAACCTCAGGGCTCAGCCCGTTTTATTCTCTTTCTATTCACTTTTGCTCCGTTAGTAAACTTTATAAACCACCTTTAAACTGATGTCACCAGATTATATTCAGACTCCTAGGTGGTGCAAATGGTTAACATACTCAGCTGCTAACCAAAAGGTTGGCGGTTCTAGTCCACCTAGCAGTGTCTCAGAGGAAAGGTATGGCAATCTACTTCCAAAACATCAGTCATTGAAACCCTATGGAGCACCATGAGTCAGAGTCAACTGAGAGCAACTGGTAATGGGTAACTAGCTTAAGTCAAACACTTCAGAGTCATCCTTGACTCCTCTCTTTCCCTCACACTCCATATCCACTACAGTGGGAAGGTCTGTTGACTCTACCTTCCCAACACATCTAGAACTGACCAATTACCACCTTCACTGCAAACTCTCTTCTGGATGCTATCATCCTCTTTTGCCTGGATGGCTGCCACAGCCTCTCAGTTGGTCTCTGGTAGCTTTTCCCCTACATTCTATTCCCAAGCAATCAGACAGAGTAGTTCTTATATTATTTCAGTCCTCTTATCAAAACCATCCAGTGATTCTCCATTTCACCGGAATAAAAGCCAAAACTCTTTCAACGGCCTACAAGGTTGTGTTTGACACTGTGATACCCTGCCCAGATCCTCTTCAGAATGACTCATTACCCTGCTGCTTGAACTGTTGTTGGCAGATAGCCCTCAGCTGTCAACCCCTTCAGGAACTGTCTCAGCTGAAGAAAGTCACCTCACCCAAGGTCACAGAGGCTTCCTAGGGCAACCCACATCTACTGACTGAGCTACATGGGGCTAAGGGCCCCAACTCAGAACTACTGTGAAAAGCCACTCTAGGTCCAGACCTCCACGTGGTGGTTGGCTGAAGCTGTTGTTGGGCCTGCATGGCAGCACAAATTCTACTTCTGTCCTGGTTTCTTCTTCTTTCCAGAGATCTTGATTCCAATGGCACTCCTTAATAAATGACCTTAGAGGCTGTTTCTGGTGAACCCAGCCTGCAACAAAGATCCTACATATAAGCTCTCTGACTTCATATCTCACCCCTGCTTCAGCACACTGGCCTCTCTGATGTATCTTCAAGAGGACTGGCATGCTCCTGTCTCAAGGCTCTTGCATGGCTATTTCCTCTGCCTGAAGCACTCTTCCCCAGATATCTGCACTAATTCCCTCATTTCCTTTCAGCTTTGCTTAAATGTCACCTTCTAAGTGAACCTACCCTGACAACCCAGGTATGGTAGGAAGCAAGAAAAAAAGTTTTAAGGAGGAAGAGTTCTCAAGTTTTTCACTTCTAATTTATCTGCTTACCTTCCAGGATAAATATTTCATTTTAAAACATGATTCCCCTAGTTTAAAAAAGAAAGTTGGAAAACTACTGTTTTATATACATGAAGACAGTGTAGTGGTAAAAACACAGGCTTTGGACTCAGACTTGGCTGTGAGTGCCCCAGCTCTGCCACTCTGCCTCTTTGTGGCCTGGGGCAAGTCACTTTACTCCTCTTACCCTCGTTTTCTTTATCTGTGAAGTTGGGATAGTGATATTACTTATACTTCTTAAAGTTAGTTACGAGGATAAAATGACTTCAGGTAAGTTACAGGCTGTGAAAACTATAAAGAGCCGTGTATTAGGAAGTACTGAGAGACGGTCCTATGAAATGCATACATCCAAAAATCCACTGGGAGGATATCTGCATCCTGGCTTACAGATCAGGGCCCTAGGAAATAATCTGTTCAACCATACTCAAATTTGAATGGACTGCCAACTTTCAGCAAAGTTGAAAGGACTGATCCTAGGAAAATGAGGGTCACTCCGAGGGCATAGTGACAATCTAACAAAGTCACTGGGGACACGGCAGACTAGTTACCAACTAATACAGTCTGAGCAATTACATAGCACAAAATCCTAATCTGTTTGCTCTCCTCACATTGACTTTAATTACTTCAGGTTTTATTCTAACCTCTAAGTCCCATGCAAAAACTCATACAGGATTTCAAAGATCTAGTTCTATACATGTTCATCAAAAGAGTTTTACATTTTAACACTAGCTATATGTCTGGATATTTGAAATTAGACGCCTAAATCTTTCTGTATTATTTTCAGCCCTAAGTTTTTTATATGTATCTCTATATCTGTGACACAAAATAACTGTACTTAGCTTAAAAACAAAACAATTACCCTGAAATCGCAACTATTTTTATGTTTGCTTCCATTCCTTTTTCATTTAATAGAGTGAAATGTCCTTACCCGTAACCTCAAATCCACAAACGTGATTGATTTCAGAGACTGCAGTACATAGAGGCCCACCCTGCAAAGCAGAAGGATGGACCACCTGTAAGTTGGCACTAATGAAAACCACAATAGTCTAAGATCTACCATTACGTTATATATCTGCCTTTTTAGATTTATTTGCAGTTCCCACTGTAGTCAAGTTCTTTATTTCTAAAGAGAGAATCACATAATTCTATGTTTCAAATGATTAATAACGATATTTTCATTTTAGAGATAGCATTATTTAAAACTATCATTCTGCAATTATACATGAAAGAATAATAATTGCTTGGAGTGCTAAGGAGGAACAAGGAGAGCAAACATGTTTCTTACTCAATGACCACATATTATGACTTGGACAACAGTTCCTACTACCACATAAGTGGAAGGCAGCTCTGAGCACCAATGTAGGTAGACTTCAAACAAGTTCCCCGAATCCGCTAGGATCCACGTATTGTTATCTGGAGAAATCCCTGCCCGGGGTGAAGCAAATTTGAGGAACTGTCTTCTGTACCCATAATTGTGTGTGTGTGTGTGTGTGTGTGTGTGTGTGTGTTTGCCCTTGAAAAAGCCAATGGTACATCAGATTATTCAGATCTTCTTTAAAGCAATAATCTACTGGAAATAGCTTTAGCACTTCCAAATCCTTATTTGAGGATACTATGCACTCCTCCAATTTTTCTTCATAGCTTTATACAACTTAATGTCCAGGCTTGGGAAACTGGAAATTTCCTCTAGGTCAAACAACTCCTTAAATCTATCTACAAATTTATTTTCTTTCTCCAACCTGAATTTCATAACCCATAGGATGATGGTGGTTTCTTTGCACAGATGGTCAAAGGTAATGAGGAGTTCTTCCAGAAAAGGATGAGCATAGACAACATCCGCTGCCAGGATATAGTCAAAATTGTTTGAAGATCTGGGGAAGTTCTCATCTAACGCAACTCCCCAGGAGAGCTCTCTAACCTGAGGCAGGTGTTTGCATTTCATTTTGGTGTTTCGGGAAATATTATATTGCAGATTTCCAAGTAATTCAGGTAAATCTGTGGCAGTCACACGTGCACCTGTAAAACAAAGGACAGTAGAAAAAGTAACCCTCGTGGGATAAGGTAAAACAACCGGGTTTTAAACCAGCATGCATTCTGCAATTCTGCATAATTGCTAGTCCCAAAAAAAAGACTGGTCCGTACGAACTGAAGGGGAATTCTTTCTAAAATGGATGCTAAGGCAGCTATATGCCACCCATTTAAAAAAACACAAACTGAGATAGAAAATTTCGACAGCCTCCGAAGAAAAAAACAAACTGAGAACTAAAAAAAAAAAAAAAACTCTAAAGATTCTGATATTTTTGTGCTCCACTGCATTTTTCTGTCCTCCTAGTTTTTGGTTTGTTTGCTCTTGTTTTGTGGTGTTGTTGCTGTCTTCTATTCATCTATTACACGCTAGGAGAATTTCAAAATATTTGGTACCCTTACCGGTACAATTAGAAGTCATTGATGAAAGATGAGTAAGTACTTCCCTAAAAGATTTCTAGGCCTCAGAAGAGTCAACCAAGTGAGTGTAGATGACGTTGGGCATCCTACCAATGAAAAGGAAATGCTCAAGTGTGATAAGTAAAGAGAGGAAAGAGACTTTTCAATGGCATTACATTAAAAGTATCATGACATCCATGTTTATGTCCAAGTTTTAAGCCCCATCATAAGTGTGAATCTTCCCACCAAAAGATGTTTAAAACATACCCAAAACATGCATATAGTGCTCATAAAGTCAAACATCATAGATGCAGGACAGAATGGTCAAATGAGGGAGACATAAACTATTAAAAGTGAATAAAACCAAAACCCATTGTCATCGGGTCAATTCTGACTCATAGTGACCCTAAACGACAGAGTAGAACTGCCACATAGGGTTTCCAAGGAACAGCTAGTGGATTCGAACTGCTGACCTTTTGGTTAGCAGCCAAGTCTTAACCATTGTGCCAATAGTTTGGGTCATTTTAAGCAAGAAATTGGAAGAAAAAAACTTGTAGAAATCAATTCATACATAACCAATAAAAATTCTTAGAGTATACTTTTAGCAAAACATAGCCTGAAAATAATCTTAATAAATCTAGGATTGGCCAATTCCACAGCACCAGACAAGAACACGCTAGGACAAAGAATAAGTAAGTAGAACTGGAAGAGAAGTATAAGTGAGCTCGGATCAAATTACAATCCATTCCTTAGCCACAATGGCAAGAGAAACCTGATTATATTGATTATATTTTGTAAAAATATTAAAATTAGAGATAAATATGCGTATCTCTAGTAGAATCACAGAAATACGGACATTCATATTCTAACGTGCGTCCGGTGTCAGCATTTTCAACAAATCTATTTAAAGTCCCAAGACATGGAATACGTCCTGCCCACCCCCTTCCTCATTGCCGTTGAGTCTATTTCGACTCCTAGGAACCTATACTGATTGTAAACTTAAGATCTTTGAGTCTAGAGAGGTAAACACAACCACTTTCAGAATACTGACTAAACAAGGCTTCCCCTTCTTGACATTTATTTCAAGTTATACAAGCAGACCGAAGGTGTCAATTCTTTTTAATAAAAATAATGGCTTTCCAAAAGACAAACTGTGACCCTCAATAGGGTAGCCTTCAGGTATTAATCAGATAGTGACCCTGACTCTATCCATACTAAATGGAATAGTGATTTTAGAGAGATATCAGGACAGAGCAATTTTTTAAAAAATGTTTGGGAGGACCTTCAAGGGTCCTTATTTCTCCAGAGTTTAAAAAGTTGTCAATTGCTAAATCTTTAATTCCTCCCAAGATTTTAGAGTGGCAGGTGTGCACTTCTGAAGATGAAGGAAATCAAGAGAAATCTGGATAGCGCACATCAGAGACAGCAGCTAAATTAAGGCAATGAAATAGACAGCAACAACAACAACAGAATGACCTGGAACAGGCTTAGGCATACACAGAAACTACCACACACTTGTTTGGAAAAGAATGTGCTGGTGAGACAACAAGGGATCATAAAAGAATGGAAATGAACTGCAACCAAATTCAAGGACAAACACCTAAAAATAGAAGCAGACAACAGAGAGCATGTGATTTCTAATATTCCCTCCCTATGTATCCTTATTGTTAACAGACGCTTTTTCATAAAAGCATAGAACTTCAAAACCCAAAAGGAATACACAGCCATATGGGAACATTGATATATGGCTAAAGTGTATCAGAATTGGCAGCAATAGATTCTGACTATGTCTAGTATTTTACACATCTCTTCTAGCAACCAAGATGCTTCGGTACCTTCCATTTAGAACACCTCATTTAAGGCTAGTGAATTAGCACTCCATGGGAAGAATTAATGCAACTTCCACTTAAAATTTTGAAGGAAACCATTACAATGACTCTAAAATAGGTAGTTTCTTGATGGAACTCATTCAACTAATAAGGAGAAAAATAGGCCCAGGTCACAGTTCACTGGGTAGTAAAGGCACCTAATGATATTTGCTCATTCAATTCTCTGATCCTATGCAATACCAAAAAAAAAAAAAAAAAAACTACTTACCTAATAAACTTGCCACAATAGAGACTAGCCCTGTTCCAGCTCCAATTTCAATTACATTTTTGTCAACTATATTGTATTGCTTTGCATTTGTTTCCAGAAAATAACATAGAACAAGAGCCTATAAAAGTTAAGAAATAAAATTAAAAAGTGGTACTAGGTAAGTAGTAACAGAAAGCAAAATTAAACTCTGTTAGATCTATTAGATCCCACTAATGCTACTATATGTATATGTGCATGTGTGGGTATGTGTATGCATTTGTGTGTGCGTATAAATATAAATATATATATACATCACTACCGAATATCAACAGAAAGTATATCCTCTGACAGATTAAACATTTAGGCTGGAAAAAGTCCTTGAGGATTGTGGTGGGGGTGGAGGAGAGAAAAAACTAATAATATGGTGGTGTTCAGCTGCTTAGATTTGATGATCCTGAAAGGAAGGAACTTCTAATAATAAGAGACATTTCAAAGAAGTATGTGGGGTTGGACAGGCAGTGGTGGGGTTCTGCCACCCGTCACGGAACGGTAAAGGTGTGGTGGTCTTTTGCAATACTCTGCATGTTGAGACTTGTGCAAATTTTAATATAATCGTTTAATCCAAATGTAGCCAGTTAAAAATAAAATTTTTTACTAAACTCTTACAGTCAAAAAAAAAAAACTGAAAGTGTAAACAACATTCTCCGTTAACTTGACTTTGATAGTCAGAAATAGAATTGGTAGAATCAATTTCCCAATCTTATGACTTCTAAATGTTAGTGTTGTTTGAGGTAACAAAGTAGAATTATGGAACCTATTTTCTTCTTCCAAACAGAACATAATAATAAGCAAGACTGGCTGAAAATAATTGAAATGTAGCAAATTTTATACAAAATCCTACCGATGGCCAAACAACAGCACCGTAACAATCCACAGCTTCCGTGATCCAGATCTCATGACCAACAAAATGAAAACCTTCCCAGGAGGTTGTCGTTACTAGAGTTGGAATGAAACATCTTTCCATAATCTCCTGAACCACCTGCTTGTCTTCATGGTCTTCTCTCTTCTCTGAAAGGAAAAGGGCAATGGCTGTGTTGATGAAGTCATGAGAACAAAGAAAAGCCTGATGGAAATGCAGCATTTGTACTCATCCTAAGTTACTTTTGAACATTCATTGTCTTTAGGTGCAAACTATTTGAAAATGACTCACAATATAAGCTAACGTTTCATACTTCAGGATGTCAAAATTTTTCTGCTTTTAACTGAAGTTAAAATCATCACTCTCCATTTCTGCAACATTGTGTGATGCAAATAATAATATACTTTTTAAAAACAATGTATTTTAAGGGCCACCAAAAGATCTCTTTAAAGTGTTAAAAAGCAAAGATGTCACTTTGAGGACTAAGGTGAACCTGACCCAAACCATGGTGTTTTAAATCGCCTCATATGTATCGGAAGCTGGACGATGAATAAGGAAGACTGAAGAAGAATTGACGTCTTTGAATTATGGTGTTGGTGAAGAATATTCAATATACCATGGACTGCCAGAACAATAAACAAATCTGTCTTGGAAGAAGTCCAGCCAGAATGCTCCTAAGAAGCGAGGATGGTAAGACTTCGTTCCATTTACTTTGGACATCTTCTCAGGAGGGATCAGTCCCTGGAGAAGGACATCATGCTTGGTAAAGTACAGGGTCAGCAAAAAAGAGAAAGCGCCTCAACCAGACGGACTGACACAGTGGCTACAACAATGGGCTCAAACATGGCAAGGTTTGTGATGATGGTGCAGGACCAGACAGTGTTTTGTTCTGTTGTACACAGGGTCTTTATGAGTCGGAACTGACTTGACAGCACCTAACAACAACAACAATCAGTTTACCTAGAATAAGAGAAAGATTTGTGATGGAATATAAGATTCCAACTATTTGTATTGGCTACATAATGCAATTCCAGTTATTTTAATAATGTATAGTAGTGTGTCTTTTATGGCTCGCTTTTATCCAGACAAAAGATATTTAATGCCACCCAACAATATACTCTTGTGTTATACTACTGTAACTTATTTTTATATTATTATTTTTGGCTCACTCATGACATCTTAACATCTACAATATTTCATAAGGTTAATAAGCAACATTGCCAATGCTGAGCACATACTTAACATGCCAGACCACATTAAACATACTGTATATGATATTTTGTTCACTTTTTTCAACAGCCTTGTGAGGTAGGCATCATTACTTGCGTTTTTACAGATAACAAAACTAAGACTCATAGAGTTTTATTAATTGACCAAGTTCACACAACTCGTAAATGAAGGAGCCAATATTTGAGTTCCTTGTTTGGTTGTTCCAAAGCCTCCTCTCTAAAGTACTAAAAAGCTATGATGTCATTTATAAAACAAACTAATTGTCTCTAAGAATTTACAAACTAGCTGTGGAGCAAGTTACCTCTCTCTCTAAGCTTCCATTTCTTTATTTGAAAAACGTGAAGAAGAATCTACATCCAATGATGTTGGGAGACTTAAATAAAATAAAGTACTTAGCACAAAGTCTGCTACGTAGAGCTCAATAAATCATTATTATTTTTGTTGCTGTTACTATTATTTTGATCATGAAATTTAAAGACAAAATAGTATCATTTAAAAAGTCTATAGTTAAATAAAGAAGGAGAAAAAAATCACCATGGAGGAGGTTAATCAGGTATGGTTTCATCAAAGAAGTGTGTCTAAGGTTTAAAGTTTGTTCTAATATATGATTTGCATTCATAGATAAACTATTTATTGTTCACATCAAACATCAATCCTTAAAATCCACTGATCCTTTAAGTCTTATCTCTGCTCTCCCAGTTCTGGCTAGAGTCTTCCTGGCTGCTTCCCCTACCCAAGCATTAACGAAGCCAAGTTTAGTTCTCTCTGGAAGAGAACACAGAAGATAAAGACCAAATCTTGAGTATAAAGAGGGGACAGTGTTATAAAGACCAAGAAAGGAAAAAGTAATTTGTAATTCCTTGATAGAGGAAGAGGCGAGGCAACAAAGATTTATTTTTAAAACTTAAGCCAGAATTACCTCTATTCCCTGTTTATTTCATTTAGTCATTCAACAAAACTGTGGTGAAGGCCTGCTATGTTGCCAGGCACAGTGCTAAGTGATGGGAATACAGCAGTTAGCCACACAGGCATGGTTCCCACCCTCCAGAAAATTAGAGAAGCACAGACGCAATGTATCTGAACTTCAGCAATGCATACAGTATCTCATGATATCCTCATGTAGAAATACTAGATTAGATGCAAGAGTAATCACACAGCTTTTTCCACAGTGCCCCCCAAAGCACATAGGTTCAATGCCCATCTAAATAGACCTTCCTAATAAATGATATGTTCTCAGCTTTGCCCTCTTCAACCATTTTTTGTTAATGGTTTGACTGATGATATTAAAAGTATGATCAAAGATTCAGATGATGTGAACCTAATGTGGATACTAGATAACTAAATGTAATACAAAATATCTAACAGTGGATTGGAATCAACAATATGAAATTTAATCAAGAGAAACGTAAAGACGATATTCAGGCTAAGTTAAGCAGCAGTATATATGGAGGGAAAAGATGTATAAATTGAATTGACTGCAAGCTCAATATGGGGCAAAAGTATACCTATCATAAAAACTAGTACACCTAGGCCACATTAACAATATAATTTCTAAAATCAGGGAAGTGAAAGCTCTGTTCTGTTTTATGCCAGTCAGGTCATACTTGTAGTCCTGTGTTTAGTTTTGAAAGCCTCACTTTAGAGGGACACTGAGAGACTACAGCAACTAGGATATGAGAAATTTTGAAAATCCCCCATAAATGGACAGTTTGGGAAATCAACATTTTCATCATAAATAATAAAATACCTGAGGGACCACAACAGTTGTTCTCACAAATTTAAGGACTAGTAAGTATAAGTGATTAAGGGTGTATGTGTGTGTGTCTCCAGTGATTGAACAACACTTTTTCAGGATATTAGGGACACATCACACATCAGATTGCTGTTAGCTCTCGGTATACTAGTACCACCGTACAACTGAATTTCTATGACTCAATAAAATAACTACATGGCATCATGTGAAGAAGTGCTATCATAGAGATACAACATGCTAAGGAAATACAGGAGAGAAATCACTTGAAAGTAAACAAAAGGAAGCCTGCAGTGGAGAGAGAGGTATCAAAGACTTTGGCAGGGAAGAGAATGAATGGGAGCAAGAGCCATCAGTAATCAGAGGGAATGAGTTCCTGAGGTCAGGCTAAGGTTCACTCATTTATTCATTCAACAAATATTCACTGACTATGTACTAAAGTGTATGCATTGTCTAGTGGCTGGGAATTAAACATTTGAGACATACTCCCTGCCCTGGTGAAGCCTGCAGATATAGAGAGACAAGTAAATGAACTATTATAATACTATATGACAGCTGCTAAAATGGAGGTGAAAGGAAAGTGCAATGCAAGCATAGATAAAAAGAACCCTCTATCGGCCTGTGGAATTCAGAGGAAGTTTCACAAAGAGGGTATCTAAGTTAAGATTTAAAAGATAACAAATATGCAATGGAGTAAAACAAAGTCTGGAAGAAGGAAGAGCATTTACATAGGTGTGGATGCATGAAAGAATGAGACATGAGAGATTATCTAATATATTCTATACCACTGTGTTATTATATATTACATTTATTTTATCTTGTATATTGTGACAGAGAAGAACTAACTGCCCAATAGGGTCTTCTGGACTGTAATCTTTACAGGAGCAGATAGCCAGCTCTTTCTCCCACAGAATCGCTGGGTGGGTTCAGACCACCAACCTTTCAATAAGTAGCCAATGCTTAACTGTTGTGCCACCAGGGCTCCTTATCTTATATATAAAAAACACAACCCACTGCCATCAAGTCGATTGCAACTCATAGTGACCCTATAGGACATAGCAGAACTGCCCCACTGGGTTTCCAAGGAGCAGCTGGTAGATTCCAACTGCCAACCTTTTGGTTAGCAACTGAACTCTTAACCACTGTGCCACCAGGACTCCTATATCTTATATGTAGTAGTATATAGTATATAATACTAAATAGATGTGAGTGACAAATGAGACTGAACAAGTAAACATGAACCAAGCATCACCTTATATAGGGGGTTTCAGTTTTACATTGTAGGCAGCAGAGGTACTAATGAAGAACTCTAAGCAGGAAAGCGATCTAAGTGCGTTTTGGCAGTGATGTAAAGAGCAGACTGGAGGAAACACTGTGTAATGGTTAAGAGGGTAAGTCATTCATTTATTCAACAAATACTAAGGGCCCACCATGCCATCACTGGAGTAGGTGTCTGCAATACAGCAGTGAACAAGACAGACAATATCTGTGCCATTATGTAGCTTACATGCTAGTAAACAAAAGTAATTTCAGAGAGTGATCAATGGCATGAAGGAAACAAAATAGCAAAGTAATACAGATGACTGTGTGAGGGTTACATTAAATAGTCAGGTAAGCTCTTTCTAAAAAAGAGCATTTAAACTGAGGTCTACATGATAAGAAAGAGACAATTATGTGAAGAGGCTCCAAAACGATGAACAACGTGCACAAAGGCCCTCTATCTGAGAAGTCTGGGTTCAAATCTCATCTCTGCCCCTTAAATCGCAAGATGTTTAATCACTTTGAGCTTCAGTCCCTTATCTTTAAATCAAGGGTAATAATATTACCCACACTTTCTAGGATTGTTAGAAAGATTATACAATTCATGAAGAGCAGTGATACAATAATTTACCACAAAGGACTCAATAAACTTAGTAGCAACAGTCACGATCCTTATCACTGTCGTCATCATCATCATCATCATCATCATCATCATCATCATCCAGACCAGATTCCAGTAGGGAAACTACTACAATAATCCAGGTAAAAGACAAAGGTACCTGAACTAAGGCAGGGGCAGTGAGTGGACATAAACCAAAGATATTAGGAGAAAAATCAATTGGACATGATAAGTAGTAGAACAAAGAGGAGAATGAGAATAATTGTGCAGTCTATATATCTATACATCGGAGTGACAAGAGGGATAAATTGTAGACTGTAGATATTTACTGAAGAAAGGTGATACCACTGTGAACCAAGAAAGTAAGATTGTCACTCTAAAGAAGAGACTGGGAGCTTAAGGATGAAGAAGGTATCTTTGAACAGCAAGAGATGGAATTGTGTATTCGGAAACTATGGCCTCTTTTCTCATGTTCCCCTCCTCTTCTAGTCTCCTTATGAGCTTCTTCTTGCAAGAGAGGAGAAGCTGCTAATCTGATTAGTAGCCTAACACGTTAATTAGGCTGTTTTTTTTTCCCAGGGGAAGGGTAGCTGTGCCTTAAAAAGTCAGTTCTCATGCACCATGCTCTCTTTCCCTGTCTCCATGTGGTAGATTGACTTGTGCAAAGTTCTGCCTCAGACAGCAGACCAATAGGAGCATCTAGAGCTACAGTACTAGATTTCTCATGTAGAATAGAGTCACTGCTTACATCCAGACCACATAATGCCAGATGTTTGCCACTCAAAACATGTACTTCAAATTTCTTGTATGCACCTTAAGGTTGAAAGTATATTCAGCAGTCTGAACTTCATACTTGCTAGTTTGAAAGATTTTTCAGTATAAGACATAAAAGATGATTTGAATAAATGGAGAGTCTATGCACACTTGAATAGGATGACTTAATACTATAAGGAATGTATGTTGTTATTGTTTTTCTGTGCCATTGAGTCGATTCTGACTCAGAGCTACCCTACAGAGCAGAGTAGAACTACCTCATAGGGTTTCCTAGGCTGTAATCATTATGGGAGCACATCACCAGGTCTTTTCTCCTATGGTGCTGCTGTTGGGTTCGAACC